GATTTTAATTTTCTCTTTTTTTTAAGAAATGTATGATATCCATAAATGAATCATATCATTAAGTGAAATATAATATCAGTGTTTTTTTGTTTGTTTGTTTGAATTTATGCACAAAGCTACACAATGGGCTATCTGTGCTCTGCCCACCACGGGTATCGAAACCCGCTTTCTAGCGTTATAAGTCCGCAGACATTCCGCTGTGCCACTGGGGGGCTAATATCAGTGAACTTGTGTGAATATGTAAAACAAGATTAGCTAATAAAATAATAACTATAACATAATATTTTAAAATTAGAAACTAATAATACATAAAGTATGTAAATATAGGTGTTTCAAGATTAATCTAATAAGCCTTTAAAAACCTTTATGAAGCCTTTAAGTTTGTTTCCTGCTAAGCACAAAGCTACCCAATGGACTATCTGTGCTCTGCCTACCACGGGTATCGACACCCGTTTTTTAGCTTTTAAGCCTGCAGCACAGAGGAGGGGGGAAGTCTTTAAGAGAAAGGTTTTGCATCCGTATGTATTACAATATATATATATATATATAATGATTTTTGACACTGTTTCAAGGTTTTTATTTTTTAATTCATTTTTAAGTCTTTCAATGAGTAGCTCAAAAATATCTAGTAAGGTTGGGCTACACGCTTAAAATGTTAATTAATATGGGCAATATACTTTTACGTTTTTCATACACTATACTCTGTTTTTCCTCTGGATTTTAAAATCATCTGTGTTGCCTAAGTACAAAGTAGACCTCATTACAAACATGAAACAGCAACTCCAAAGAAGAAAATATAGTTAAAGAGTTTGCATTTGTATTAATTATGAGTTATCTAAATCAACAACCTTTATCTATAAGCACCGTAAGTACATAAAGTACTGTTACTGTGATGTTATTTGCTTTCTTTATGCATGTTTGCATCCTTTTTGCTCAAGTACAAGTAAATCCTACTAAAACTGTTGCACTTCGGTGGTCCATACTGATTCATGTTCATTTTTGTATTGCATCCTTTTTTTTTAAAGTTTTGTCTGAAGCGTATTTGTTCTTCAATTCCACTATTTATTGCACCTGTTTCAATAAAAATATCTATTTTTCACTCAGAGATTATTTTCTATTACGTTTTAGGCTATTGTTCCGATTTCGTGTTTTAATGAATATTATTTTTTGCTCGGTTTTTACGGTCTTTAAGGAGACCAAATGAAAACATGTTAAAATGTGTATGGTTTATGTTCAACTGTCAAAATAGTACGTTTTTATATAAGTAATTTCTGACTTGGGAAATTTTTGTAACATGGTTCACTAACCCTTTTAGAGTCTGTTAACTTGATCACTGTTACGCTAACTGCTAAAGCAACTGAATTAAAATCTTTAAAAAAAGTAATAATACCTTGACATGAAAAGGATCTACCTTATTGAATTGTTATACAATGCTCTTTCATTTGCTAACCGAAAGCATACGATATAAGTTCTAAAATGTTTGGAATATAATGACACCAGACAAATATGTTGCTTTACGGTGTTAATTTATTTATTTACAATATTTAATTAAATTAATTAGATTTTATTTTATTTTATTACTTAAATATAGAAAGTCCCGCAAGCAACTTAAACAGTAACTGGCTATTAGGTGATTGTGTTATGTCCACTTTCCTGAGTATTTTCTTATAAGCAGAAACCACATGAACAAAACATGTGTAATAATAATAATTACATTGATTTTGGCTGTTGTGGTCGTACACGAGCAGCTATTTCCTTTGCAAATATGAGATAGGATTTGCCAGCACAAAATCTCTTCGTAAACACCTATACACAGAAGTATATATCAGTTTGTTATTAAATATGTATTATTTACACGAGTAGAAAGATAAACGGTTTCAAAGTTATTGTTGAAATGCATAAACTACGTACATAAAAATAATGAAAATGTTCAGAATATTTACTTTCCCGTAAGATTAACTTTGTACCTATTTAATTTTGTTATCCAAATTTATTTTTCTTTTGAAACAATATACATGCTTTAAACTTTAAATCTTTATAAACAGTTATTGAAGTGAAAACTCCAGGAAGGTATTTTTTCAAGTACATTAATCAAATTTCTGAGAATGGTGATGACGAGAGAACCTAAGAACATATCTAGTGATCCTTCAATTATCTTGTGTTCTATAAATCCCTTTTTTTTATTGGTAAAAAAGAATAATAATTAAACTCCATTGGATATATTCTTATTTATTACACAATTCATGTCTTAAATGGATTGTGAATGAAGGCTTTAAAAGTACAAATGTAGCAAGCTAAAGTTTATTTTGCAAAGTTTTATTCTCAACTATAGCAATTTAGTATCAAAGTTAAAAGTATTCGCCACAAAAAATCTCATTCTCACATGACACCCTTTCTAGTAACCAATGCATGTGAAGAATGCAGCTATCTTAATGTTTAATTATTCTAGCTTTTAAATTTTCGACGAACGTTAGAGATTATTCGAGGAACATAAGGATTTGATTATTCTAATAACATAATTATATCTTTCATAATGTTGTAAGCGCGAGTTCTTTCCTCCAGTCGACACATTCCCGAAAGTGTGACTAAAACGATGAAGTCTGCAGAGTAAAACTACACTGTCGTACTTTTAGTTATGGCATACATACGCACACATAACACATCTTCACAAGGTGAAACTAAAACAAATGTTATTACAACAATTGAATAATTACTTATAATTCTTTTCTTAACATTATTTATAATCCTTCTCATTTTCAACAAATTGTTATTATAAGTTTTCAATTTAAGAAAATAATTATTTTTCCACTCTTTTTTTTTTAATAACTGAAGGGAAAGGGATTTTTTTCCATTTCTTCCAAACTACTGCAAATTTTCTGACACGTTATGATGTAAAACTGTTTTCCTTTGCCCTAACAGGCAGGATTTATCATGACGTGATTTTTTTGTAATGTTGGTTTTTATACTTAATTATCCCAAACGGTTCCACAACATATCAGTTGTTGAATAAGAGATGAAATATCAATCCCTTCACCTATTTCATTCAGTTACAAGGAAAATAATGCGACGAGAAATTGCTTGGAAACCATGGTGAGTTTGGCTGCTGTAAGGAATTAATCTTTACCATTACACTGCTGTGTCTGTTTCATTGTGCTATCTCTTCTTCGTGCTTTTTACCACTTTAATCTATTTCACCTTTCGCTCTGATTTATCTGTGTTTTCTTTGCAGATGATACGCACCAAACTTTCACCTTTCCAACTTTTACTCCACCTGAAATACCCAAGAGGGTGAAACTCCGAGGTAGCAGTATATATAATAGTTTAATTTCTAACTTTCGTTTGAAGACAGTCTTCATTATCAAGTTACCCATATGTATGAAATTACATACGCCCATCTGAGTATGCATATATATGTATATATATATATATGTATGTGTGTGTATTTGGTCTACTTTTTAGGCTCCTGTCTTAATAACAAAACTAAAGATAATTCATTGTTAGCGCCATATACATAAATAGATAGGTTGTTCTTAATAAGAAGTTTGATAATTATTAAATCAGCGAGCACCACAACACTTTATTACGATTGTATATGATCTATACAATCATACAGGCTTATGGATATAGTGCTCTTATTTTCACAAACCCATAACCAGCCCCCACTCAGTTACACATTCTCGTCTACACTTCCTACCATTCAGCATAAGTGTCTTCCCTTCTGTCTCTTTAAAAAGAAAAAGAAAAGAACGGCCATCAATGGCGAAAGAAATAATAAACAAATTATTTTTATATCACCCGCTTCACGCTCAGAAAGGAACCCTAAACCTCGTCATTATACTTCCTACCATGTCATCAAGAAAACGCAGATTTTGATGGATTTCATTTCCGATTTTGTTTCGCCTATCATTTGAGTTTTAAAACACCCCATATCAACATTACTTCTGTCCTGCTGTGCAAACACATGACGGATTTAATTTCAGTTTTGAAGCGCCCCATATTAAAAATAATTCCGTCTTACAGTACAAACACTTGATGGATTTCCTTTCTGTTTTGAAGCGCCCCATATTAAAAATAATTCCATCTTACAGTGCAAACACATGATGGATTTCATTTCAGTTTTGAAGCGCCCCATATTAAAAATAATTGTCTTACTGTGCAAACACATGATGGATTTGATTTCAGTTTTGAAATGCCCCATATTAACATTACTTCTATCCTGCTGTGCAAACACATGACGGATTTAATTTCCGTTTTGAAACGCCCCATATTAAAAATAATTCCGTCTTACAGTGCAAACACATGATGGATTTCATTTCAGTTTAGAAGCACCCCATATTAAAAATAATTGTCTTACTGTGCAAACACATAATGGATTTGATTTCAGTTTTGAAATGCCCCATATTAACATTACTTCTGTCCTGCAGTGTAAACACGTGAAAGAACGGAAAGATATTTCTGACTTCTTTGCTTTTATCAAACAATTATTTATTCTATTTTTTGCTAATATTTATTTCCATTTTTGCTACCTCAACTCTATCTCACTGCTTGCAAAACACTTTTGCTTAGCACTTTGTGAAAAACACTTTAATTCATTCTATATACATATGTCTATGTGAATATATATATACGTACCTCTGTTAACATATCAGTTTTAATACACATATAAATCTAATTACATAAGGAACATGGATTTTGGTTTTGTTTTCGTTTACTGTTTAATGTTAAAGAAGTTTTAGGGTTTAAAAGCTTGGAAGATTCTTGAGAAACATTTTTAACAATATGATCCAACATCAACTTTGTTTTCTCTGTTGCTTGTGAACATTATGGATATTCAAAATATAACATTGCATTATATTAACTACTTTTGATACTCATAAAGTATGTGTATTAATCAATTATAAATACATATGTATACATACATTAATGATTAAAACTAGCAAGGTATCTGTAGGTCAAACTTTTAAAATATTTTGATACTAAAGATATGTTTTTGAAATCATCATTAATAAAAACACCCACACGTATGCTGAGAAAAAAAACTTTATCTGTATTTGTTTTAAAATCCTCATAAAATATTGCATTTATTATTTGAGCTTAAAACAAATAAGGTCATTAAACACATTAACAGCATTACAATTTCCGTTGTGATTTGTTAGGTTTTCATAATAAGTTATTTGAAACATACTCAAATTATGTATGATAGTGATTCACTTAACACGAATATAACTCGACTTTGCTACCAATTTGGTTTGGTCTAAGTCAGTTTCAGTTAAACAGATTAAGTTGTAATGAATTGTGTGATAAAAAAATCATTGCTTTCTGCTATCGTAAACTTTATCGTGTAGTTTATTTTATTCCAGTCTTGATAAGCAATATATGCTTAACAATTAATCCAAAATTTAAAATTCATCTAATCAATGACTAAATATTAAACAAAAAACTTTTCTGCTTAGCTGCTTAATGGATTAAAAACTTTTCGGCTTAGATGTTTAATGGGCTAAAAAGCTTTTCTGCTTAGCTGCCTAATTGATTAAAACACATTTCTGCTTAGCTGTATAATGGGTTAAAGTTCCCATTTATGTCAAAAAGTAAACATCTTATTTCACTAAGATTGCATTAATTGTAGAAATTGTCATATCTAGTATTCATCAAAGTGAAAACTCCTTATCTTTCCGTGTACTACAAAAACAACTTTGTGAAGATGGTGCCAACACTGGGATTTTGAAGACAAAATGTGGAGTTAAAAACTAGAAACCAGATTTTCAAGCTATGAAAATTTTGAATAAGTTACTGACCTAAAATTTCTTCTTCAGTTATATGTTTCCTTATGTACAAATTATTATTTTTCTTGGTGAAGCCTTTAGATCGAATTTCAGTTCAGATATTTCAAATCACGAATTATTATTACTTTGGTTTAAAGAAACTTTATATATCTGTATTGCATAAAAAGTTTACATTTTGAGGTATTTTTAACTGTGCGGATCATTCGTTTTCTTGCAAACAGCCGAGGTGTCAAAGGATCAAGGATCTAGTAAGTGTGGTTGCTTTCAAATCCATCTCTTTGTCATATTGAGTTACAATGTCTCAATTTACTGTTACATCTAAAATTAACTCATGAATATTTCTGTTTAAACTCCTTGTCATTACTAGTTTTTGTATATATATATATATATATATAT